GGCAGACAACAACAACAACAAGAACGACCACCACCACAACAACAGGAACAACAACAACAACAACCACAACCACAAACGACAACAACAACATTTCTTCGGGAGGATTCAGGGAGGTTGGACAGCCTCACCCGCTACCCAAGGGAGGCGGCGGTGGCCCTGGCGAAGAGCGTGCTCTTCGGGGCTCCAAACATTTCAAACAGATAGGCAACCACACACACACACACACACAACAAAAACCACTACGACAACAACAATAAGAACAACACGTTTGCAGGCTCAGCTCACCCGGAGTGGGTTTTCATTCAGGTACGGAGGTTCTCCCTCGATCATCTCAATGGCCATGATGCCCAAACTCCAGATGTCAACTTTTGGTCCATATTGCTTCCTGAATGACAACAGGAAAACAAAATATTAAAACATATTTTCAATGGTCAGTGTAAGACTGCAACATAGGTAACTTTTCAAAATGGTGTAGGGCAAAGTCTTACAGTAGGTAGATGATTTGTGGATTTGTTTTCTGAGACAGAAGATGAACTATATAGCCTACACATACTGTAGATACATATGTGAGGCAGCGTGGTGGAATCAGGCTCTCGTCAATTTTTGGGCATGTAGAGTTATTGCTATCATCTTATAGCTTGTTCACTTGCCTTTATTTGGATGAAAAAATATCCATTTATCTTGAATACAAGTGGAGATATTTGCGAATGAAGGAGGTGGGGGTCACCAGTCTTGAGAGGTAAAATTTGTGAGAAAATGGCCGCCAAAGATTAGTCATTTCCTCGGCTTAAGAGACCGTGGCAACAGAAATGAGTTCTTTAATGGTCATGAAAAGTGTTGCACCAAAAAACAAAAATTTGATAAAAATTCACAAACCTGTGGAAAAATGCAAGTTTCTTCACTTTGATTATTTTGACGAAAGCCTGATTCCACCACGCTGCCTCACATATATAATGAATGACACTCATTATGAAAGGAACAAAATCCCTTTGAAATTTATTTTTTAAAAAGCAGACGTGGCATTCATTTCACAGTTCTAAATATCGAAAGTGTTTTACCAAAATCTGCCAGAGATTCTCACTTCTCCACTGTAATCAACAGACTACTTTTGCAGTGTCACCTTTGAGTAACTTCAGAAAAGAAATTTAGGAGGAATTATATTTTGATTTCAATCATAAAGGAAAACAAAAATTGATGCCAAAATGGCTGGGTGAAAGTGAGGAAAATTGCCTGGTTAGGAAAGTTAATACAATTGCAAATTAGCCAATGTCCAGAAATCCAAAGTGCACAAGACAAATTGTTGAAGAGACAACCAGTAGGTCCTACTTCTTTTCTTTCCCTCTGAAGTTTGTCTTTCTGCCTTGCTTCTTCTCTGCACTATAGGACCATTATTGTATCGATATGCTTCTCTTTACTCAAACTGAAAACTCTGCAGAGCGCGAACTGACCTGGTGACCACCTCAGGGGCCATCCAGTAGGGCGTGCCCACCATGGTGGAACGTTTGCTCTGCTCAGGGGACAGCTGCGCGCAGAACCCAAAGTCAGCTGAGAAGGAGAAAAAGGAAACAAAATTTTTTATTACAATTTGCAAGGATCCTCGTTGGGCAATTTGGGTTATACAATAGCAAACACACACACACATAAACACATAATTATAAATATATACATAAATACATGATATCACACCAATACTGAAAGAGCTGCAGAGCTGGCCAAACAGAGAAAACTGCATCTCCCCTCGACCCGTAACGGTAACAGAGGATGAAAAAGAAAAGAAAAAAAGAGACAGAGTAATTTCTCAAAGATGCCACCACTGGTCGCCACAGTGCAGCACCCTGTTGTTTTAGCAAGGGTTGCCGAGTCTTGCTCAATGACACACCCCAGTGACCACTCACTTTAACCCCCTGTAGAGATTAAAAAAGGGATTGATTGAACATGTTTTACAGCCCATCACCTCAAGAAATTCAATGACATGCCTTCCACTTCCCAAGATAAAATAATATCACACACCACTGATCCAATGAAAGAAAAAGGTTTGATTGTACATCTTTTACAGCCCATCACTTCAACAAATCAACAATATACTTTACAACAAAAATATATATATATACCGCCACTAACAAAAATTGCGTGCACATACAAAAAGTCACACAACTTTCTATCTCTTGAAATACACATTATCAATCTAGTTCTGGACATATCGTATAACCATGTAATATGAGGGAGCTCATTACATGTACTGAAAAATATACGCTGCTCAAACTTAACAAATTTTTGGTGTTTAACTTGTTAAAAGCACATGATTGTTAATGTTCTATGCGGCTATTGGCACAATCTAAACCAGCAAGACCCAGCATATCAGGACCTACCACAGCGTAGAGGTATACAACAGCCAAGCGGCTGTACGGAGAGGCTGGACAAAGTAACAAAGAGAGAGTCGAACTGAGGCCCTCTGCTTAGATTTAGTAGAGGTTTTACGGCGTTCGCAACTGCATAAGGTCATATGAGCGCCAGAAGATTAGAGGTGTTACAGGAGAGTAACAAACATAAAAAAGAAAAAGGGGAGAAAAGGACAATAGATGTTTGATAGGAAAGAAGGAGCAAACCACACCAGAGCACCAGCCAACCACCCACTGAGGCCTTTTGCATGAAGTGGTGAACAGCCTAACCATGGCACCACAGACACAGGCATTTAATGCATAAAAGCGTGCAAAATTACTTCCTACATAAAAGGAGCATTACTCCCAACATACAAGACGCATAACTCTCTGAATACAAGGAGCTTACCTCACCAAACACAAGAAGAGAGGCTCACTAAAAACAAGGTTAGTAACTCACTTAACACAAGAAGAGTAGCACACAAAATATATAAGGGGTTGTAACTCCCTAAACACAAGGAGCATAACTCACTTAGCTTGACGCTGCCGTCCATGCCCAGCAGGATGTTGTCACTCTTGATGTCTCTGTGGATCACCTGGTTGTCGTGCAGGAACTCAAGAGCTTGCAGACACTGGTGACACACATGGATCATATTATACAAAAGTATTTTTTAGTTTTAGTAAAGGTTTTACAGCACTTGCAACTGCATAAGGTCATATGAGCGCCAGAAGATTAGAGGTGTTACAAGAGAGTAACAAACATAAAAAAGAAGGGGAGATAAGGACGATAGATCTTTGATAGGAAAGAAAAAGCAAACCACACCAGACCACCCGCCAACCACCCACATACAAAAGTATATCATACATGTGTGTCTATATCTACAAATAAGCCTCAAACATTCTGAGCCACAAGTTTGCAAGAAAGCCCATTAACAACTGAGCAAGGATGTTTTAAATATCTTTTAAATATTTTTTTTTGCTTTTTTAGTATGCATTTCAAGGCACTTACAACACAATTAGGTCATATAAGTGACAAAGATTAGAGTTGTCGCAAGAGAGTAACAAACACAAAAAAAGAAGAAAGAGAGTTAAGGAAGATAGACGGTTGATAGGAAAGAAGGAGCAAACCACAACAGAGCATCCGCCAAACACTCACAAAGCAGGGACAGAAATGGATGGTAAAGGAAATTTAGAAGTCATAGTTTTATGAGACAATCAAGCACACTGATGTCCCCACACATCACAAATCGGACAAGATAATGTCCCCAGAAAAAAATGTCCGAAGAAAAACATCAATAAAGTCCACAAAAAATACTGCTTACTACACACCACATCAACACACGTGTAACTGACCTCTCTACACACGGCAGCTATCTGACCCTCGTCCATACAGGTTTCCGTGACAACGTCCGTGAGAGACCCACCAGCCAAAAACTCCATCACAACCTGAAAGACAAAAGAATATACAATTGTTTAACACTGTGCCTTCCTCTTCATCTCCCAGATTTTAAACGGACCATCAGCAATCATGGTTCTCCACTCATTTGTCACTACTTGGATGCTCTCAAAACCTTTCCTCAAAACCTGGGCTTTTCCTACCACCCATCCGATCAAGCTCTTTCACTAAGTTACTCTTTGACTGCCTTAGCCTCTTTCATCTTCTACTTTTTATGTGAGAGACGGGTTCTTCTATAGCTTCACAGCATTCAAGAATTATAACATTTTTACCCTAATACATACCGCAGTCAGGTACGCTCTACAAAATTCAATAAAAGGACATTTTCAATTTTTGTCTGTTTTTTGTTTTTTTTATGTATTTATTTATACTGAGAAGCTGAAGAGCCTAGAAAGTAATGGAGAAGGCCCAGTCTAAGTTAAATCACAGACTTGGAAAAAAACAACTTCCTACCCAGCAGGGCACACCAAATTCTCAGAGAGACACTTTTTCTATCTTGCATTTATGCTTTAAATAGCCAGCAGAAAACCCCATTCAATGTCATATTTATTCATATTCAAACTGCCACACCAGTATAAATATACCAAAAAAAAGATATGATCAAAGTATTAATTTCCCACCACCAGTTTCTTTCTCATCCAGTACAAAAAAGTCACTTAAAAAATTATTTTCCACTAAAACGAACGTCTAAAAAAAGTAAAAAAGTAAGTAAGGTCTAAGTTAAAAAGGAATGTCTGCAAAAAGTAAAAAAGTATGTCTCTGCACAAAGAATATCTCTATAAAAAGTATGTCTCTCAACAAAGAATATCTCTATAAAAAGTGCGTCTCTCAACAAGGAATATCTCTATAAAAAGTCTCTCAACAAAGAATATCTCTACAAAAAGTACGCCCCCCGATAAAGACGACTCCCGCCCGCGACCTCGGATATATTCGTCTCACCCAGAGTTCCTCCCCGACCAGGTAGCTGTCGAGGTAGTTGACGATGTTGGGGTTCTGGTTTTCCCGCATGACCAGGATCTCGTTGATGATGAGCTCTTTCTTGGGCTGCTGCGACAGGTTCATGGTCTTGATGGCCACCTCGCGGCCCGTGGCCACCTCCACAGCGATGAACACAGTGCCAGACGCCCTGGGGGAGGGGGTGATTTGTCACATTATTTCGAATGTTTTGCTCCATTTCAGACACAAAATTAGGTCATTTAAGAGGTAATGAATACAGTGCCTGACGCCCTGGGGGACGGGGGGGTTGAATTGTCACATTATTTCGAATGTTTTGCTCCATTTCAGACACAAATTAGGTAATTTAGGAGGTGATGAATACAGTGCCTGACGCCCTGGGGGGAGGGGGGTTGATTTGTCACATTTTTTCGAATGTTTTGCTCCATTTCAGACACAAATTAGGTCATTTAGGAGGGGATGAATACAGTGCCTGGCGCCCTGGGGGAGGCTGTAAATGGGACTTTATTTCAAATATTTCAAGCCACTTTTAACACAAATTAGATCATTTAGGAGGTGATGAATGCAGTGCCCTACTCCCTCTGAGGTGGGGATTGTCACATTTTTTCAAATGTTTCATGCTACTTCAATCACAAATTAGACCATGTAGGAGGTGATGAATACGGTGCCCTAGACCCTGGGGATAGGGTCAATGTCACGTTATTGGGAATGTTTTATGTCACTTCAGAGAGGAATTAGATCATTAAGGAGGCAATGAATATAATGCCTGATACCCTGGGGGAGTGGTGTGATTTGTAATGTTATTTCGAATGTTTTACGCCATTTCGGATACAAATTAGACCATGTAGGAGGTGATGAACACAGTGTCGGGATGATAGAGTATAAAAAATGACAGGACCAATGTAAAGAAGTTGTAACTACCAGCGGCACCTTCAAATTAACCACTTAGAGGGTGTACTTTAAGATCACTTTATACAAAACCAAAAAAAAACCAAACAAAAAAAACAAGGTAAAAATGAACAAATAATTGAAAAAAAAAAGAGGAAGAAAAAAGACCCATCTGGAAAAACAACCCCACCATACAGTTAAACCACAACATTGTCGAGGGGAAAAGTGGCCGTCTTACAGTATGACTACAACTTTTTATTTTTATAGTAGATGGTTTTACAGCGCTCGCAAATGCATACGGTCTTAGGAGCGCCAAGGGGTGGATGTCAACAGAGAAGTCTTTACAGGAAATCAGACTTACTCTGCTCACCTCTCTAGCTTCAACAGCACAAGGTCTGTTTCAACAGCACAAGGTCTGCTTCAACTATCAAGGCCCCCAGGAAATAGCAGGTCACAAGAGAGTGACAAACATACAAAAGAAGTAGAGGAAAATGACAATTGTAAGGATCAGGAAAGAAAAAGGAGCAGTTCCCTGTTGTAGATCAGGCACAGTTATGAGCATGACATGAATCAGCCCATTTACAATTCTACTGTGCTTGAACGATAAATGTCCCCCCTTTGGGAATGGCCTAGAGACACTACAGTCAGTGGCACTGCCCCGGGGGGGGCATCATAACTTAATGTTAGAATAAAATATGCAAAGGAGCATACAGAAAATGGCCATCTGAGCAGGTGCCCATGTAACTCACCCCTGTCCTATCTTCTCCATCTTGGTGTACTTGCGGTTGGGGTCCCCAATGGAGACGATGGTCCTCAGCTTCTCCATGATCTCCTCGCTGGTCATCTTGGCTTTCTTTGGTTTCTCCGTCTTGTTGTCCGTGCCCGTCTCCGACTTCTCCTCTTGGTCCACGGGCTTCGTGTACTGGGGGAGGGGGTTTTAGTTAGTTTTAGTAAGTTTTACGGCACTTGAAACACAATAAGGTCATATAAGTGCCGAAGATTAGAGGTGTTACAAGAGAGTAACAAACACAAAAAAGAAGGAGGGGAGATAAAGACGATACATGTTTGATGGGAAAGAAGAAGCAAACCACACTAGAGCACCCGCCAAGGGGGAGGGGAGACGAAAGTAAAAATTGTTTTACCAGGCTCATGACTCCATGATGCTTTCTGATACACCATTGTGGTTTAATTTTTTTAGTTTTCCTAAGAGTTTTACGGCACTTGCAACACAATAAGGTCATATAAGTGTCGAAGAATAGATGTGTTACAAAAGAGTAACGTACACAAAAAAGAAGTAGGAGAGATAAGGATGATAGATGTTTGATAGGAAAGAAGGACAAAGAAGGAGCAAGCAACACCAGAGCACCCGCCAACCACTCACTGGTTCAATTTATTCCTGATTCAAAAAATTAATTTTTTTGTACTCCTCCCGCTCAAGTTGAGGATGGACTTGGAGAAAAGAATTAATGGTTTAGCCACAGCATGTTAAACCAGCACATATTTCCACATTGTTTTCAGTGAATTGTATACTACAAGATGATAATCAGGAAATATAATTGCATTCTTTACTAGACAAACAGACTAGGACATTCTGAAAAACAAGGAAACTCGGGCAAATACATCAATTTTTCCAGGGCGCATTCAAGGCAGGTCTGCGCACACATAATAACGGACCGGAGATGCCATCACGACATCACTTTATATCTATTATCTCCCTTTAATATTTTCCCTTTCGTCAGATTTGCGAGACATAAGAAAGTAGAGAAACATTAGATCCAAAGATGACCAAGTCCTCCGACAGGTCTCAATGACTTTAGTAGTAGTCTAATACCATGTGACTGTTAAAATAAAGAGAAGCATATTAAAATGATAACAGTCATTACTTTACTTTACTTTACTTTACTTTTCCGATCCAGTGGCCATTTGGGTTCTAGCCCTTCGGTCTGAATAACAGTCATTAACTCTAGAAAAAGCAAAACAAGACAAAACAGAGGAAAAGAAATGGAATCCACCAGTAGCGCCCTCCAACCACCCAGATACACCATCAGACAAGACTAACGACTTAACTCTTTATCTCTCGACAATTGCCCACAACAGGTCTTAGTTTTAGTTTAGTACGGGTTTTACGGCGCTCAAACTAGGTCGCTTTTACTATGAGTTCATTCATAAGAAGAAGAACTATCCAAAAAGGTTCACATGTTTTTATTTAATGACCAATTTAGTGATGTATAGGGAACTTTTAGATTTCGTACCAAAAGAGGGCCCCGGATAAAAAGTTTTCAAAAATCACACATTCTACAACTTGCAGTACTATCAGTACCAGGTTTGCTTCACAAACTCTGACTCACTATAGATTTGGTCTTGTCGGGTCGGGCAGCGATGGGTGGCGGTGGTATGTCCTCATCCTCCTCCTCGCCGTCGGCAGATACAGTTGGACTCGAGTCCTGCTTGGGCTGAAAATAAACAAGAGGCGACAGAGCCAAGAACTGAGAGACGGACACCAGATGCAGAAAGGAACAGGAACTCACTCATCACTTGTGAGGTGTGCTGAACAAAATGAGTCACTTCTCGCTATCTACAATTAATAGAGATGTCCGCCGAAAATAGGCGCATCAAATTTGTAGATCTGAAACTGATGCCATTTTCTTCAGGTTTAATAATTTGTCTTTTGATCATTTCATATGACAAATTGTACAAATCCAGCCTAAAATGTGATGTATCTATCTGTGGCCATAGGGCTATAGATCTGAAAAGTAACTTATCCAGTCAGCACACTTCACATTTGTTATTTTTGTTTTTTTATAGTAGAGGGTTTTACGGTGTTTGTATGTATGTATAGTATAAGGTTTTACGGCGCTCGCAACTGCTAAGGTCATATGAGCGCGTTTGCAACTGCATAAGGTCATATGAGCGCCAGAAGATTAGAGGTGTTACAAGAAAGTAACAAACATAAAAAAGAAGAAGGGGAGAAAAGGACAATAGATGTTTGATAGGAAAGAAGAAGCAGACCACACCAGAGCACCCGCCAACCACCCGCTTCACATTTGTAGTTTACTGTGATGATAGAAAAACCACAAGGAAGTGGAGGCATCAAGACTGCACAACTACACCCACCTATCACCTACAACTCACTTACACTTTTCAAGACAAAGCAAGAAATATCCTTCGCTTTTACAATAGGGCTAAAGATTTATCTTACTTTCACCTCAATACATGTGGTCGAGTAAAAGTTACAAAACAAACACATTCAGACGGAGCCTTCGTTAAAAAAACTTTGGAGACAACCAAAATGGACAAAAACATTTTTAAAATCATAAATCCTACCACTAAACCCAAACTAAAAGTGTAGGTATCAGTCATACACTGCTACTGACATACACTATACGGCAGGAAACAAAAACCATCCACTTTTTTTAAGTATTTTTTAAAAAGTTCAGAAAGAGTTTCACAGCATTTGCAACACAATAAGGTCATATAAGTGCCGAAGAATAAATGTGTTACAAGAGAGTAACATGCACAAAAAAAGGAGGAGGAGAGATGACGACGATGGATGTTTGAAAGGAAAGAAGGAGCAAACCACATGAAAGCACCCACCATCTACTATCATCAACCAAAAATTAAAAAAAAAAAACATTCTAGATAATTTACGCTCTCATCAACACAATTTAGATCATTCAAGAGGTATTCGGTGACGTAAATTCTCGGGCTGTACAGACCTGTGAGAGGATGACCATGGCGGACAACTTGTCTGACAGGTTGGACTTGGAAGACGAGGCACCTGCACAAGACAACAGCACAACACAACACAGCATGAGCAAACTTGTTTAGTTTTAGTAAGGTTTTTTACCGCGCTAGCAACACAATAAGGTCATACAAGTGCCGAAGATTTAGAGGTGTTACAAGAGAGTAACAAACACCAAAACGAGGGAGGGAATATAAGGAAAATAGATGTTTGATAGGAAAGAAGGAGCATAACCACACCAGAACACCCACCAACCATCCACATGAGGAAACTTAACCCATTGATGAAATTTTTTGATTTAAAACGTTTTACACCCCTATCAGCATTCAACGTAATAAAAATCATATATGAAGCGCACTGACAAAAGGAGTTACTTCTCGGATTCAAGCCTTAAGGAAATAGATATACATCAGGCTTATAGGTGAAGTTTCTACAATTTATGAGTTGGAAATAATAAAAGACAGGTTATATTTAAAGTTAAAGAATATGACATCAATAGAAAATCTACATAATTGACCCTTATGTTGAATTTTGGCCAATATCTCTGATTGTGGATTGCGAGAAGTAACTCATTTTGTCAGCACGCCTCACATATGCCAGACACTGTTTTCCCTCTGCCTGGCTGCCTGGCCGACATGAACTGGGTGAGAAAGAAACAGCACTCAAAGCTACTTGATTAAGAACAAACTTCTTCCAACAAAAATTGAACTAATGTCTTTTGAGGGAAGTGGCAAAGACTACGAGCTTAGCCGTTGCACCAACAAGAATATGGAAAATTAATCCTAAAACTAAAACATACATTTTATATAAAGACTCTTGTCTCTCTCAAGCACTTACTGCAAGAGACGACACAGGGCATAAACTTCTCATCCTGCCTCTCCTGGACAGAGTGTTGTACTCTCTTTATCTCTCAACCTCTCTCTCATTCAGTCTCTCTTTCTTTCCCTCTTTCCCTCACTCTCTCTTTCTTTCCGTGTCACAAGTACTTACTGCCAGAGTAAATATTGAGAATAAACTTTTCATCCTGCCTCTCCTTGAAGGAAGTGAAGTATGTCTGTCTGTCTCTCTCCCCCCTCCTTCCCTTCCCCCTTGTCTCTCGCTCTCTCTCTCCCTCCCTCTCTCCATCTCACGAGTACTTACTGCCAGACTTGACATTGAGCATAAACTTTTCATCCTGCGTCTCCTTGAAGGAAATGTAGTTTGTCTGTCTGTCTGTCTCTCTCACTCCTCTGCCTCCCT